TTTTTTTTTTTCCACCTAAGAACTAGTAAGTGATCCTCTTCCTCCTCGCTCCGTCTCTGCTGCTAGAAGGCAGCAGAGGAAGTGAAGCATCCGCCTCAGCTTTCGTTTGTCCCCCATTGCTGGCCCAGAGCCCTGGGATGGAGGAGAGGTTCTGCTGGGGAGTGTGTGGTGGGAGGACCCGGTTTCAGAGTCCGCTGAGACCAGCTGCTTAGAAGCTCCCCTCCTCCGGCCGGCTGTTTCTTGCACTCCCCTGTTTTGACTATAAGGGGGAAATACTTGGAAGTATAAAGCTGACTGGGAGTCCCTTGGTGGCACAGTTAAGCGCTCGACTACTATCCAAAAGGTTAGCGGTTCGAACCCAGCAAGAGGCACCTCAGAAGACAGGCCTGGTTGATCTGCTTCTGAAAGGTCACCACCTGGAAAACCCTATGGGGCAGTTGTACTCTGCACACATGGGGTCACCCTGAGTCACAACTGACCTGAAGGAAACTAACAAAAATAACACAAAGCTGACTGATCTGCCTGCGCCTCCACCGCGTGATTTATCACTGACCCGGGCTCTCCTGGAAGAGATGGAAATCGTCATTCAGCCTTGCGGGTGTGAGGTGGGCAGGAAAACTTGCTGTGCTCTTGATAAACCACTGAGAAGCAAGAGTAACTGCTGACTGCAGACTGGGAGGTGGGCGAGGAGAGCGTGAGAGGCACTGTGCTCCCCTCTGGATCTGGTGAGACGTGGCGGAGCCAGCAACGGCATCAGCGTGGGGCCGACAGCCTGGCCCTGCAGCTCAGGGTTTCTCTTCCTGAACACATTGGTCTGGCGTCTACTTTCTACAGGCTGCGCGCACTAACTTTGCCCTCCCGGGAGCTTTGCTTTGGGGATCATACTGGGCAGGAGGCCCCTGCTGCCGCACACTGACTCTGCGTGGGTCAGTCAGGCTGGGCCGTGGGCGTCAGCACCCGCCCTGCGCTGGGCAAGGTGAGCCCTGCAGACATGTTCATCCACCTTCCTTCTTAGAGGGAACCCCCTCCCTAGGAGCCTCCAAAGTAGAAGATCCTGTCTTGATCTGAGGGGCTTGGTGCCGGCTATTGTTCCTTAAGCGCCCGTTTTGCCCTCCTTTGGGGCTCAGCGTGGTGGAGAGAAGGTTAACGATTCAGGAGCAGCCTTAGAAGCCTCACGGGCATCTGAGTGAGGTGAGACACAGCCACCAGACCAATTGCTTCCTTCAGGGCCTTCCACCGGTTGCCTCGGCCCGTGTTTGTTGTCCCTTTTTCGTTCTAGTCCCGTTGTTCGTGTGGAGAGAGATACAGGAAGCAGTGCGTGTCCTGCCCTAAAGGTGGCATGGCCCTGCCAACCCAGTGAGGCATACAAATCATTATTACCTACTTTCTTGAATCTACGACCCGTATTTCCTTCATAGTTTAGCCTTCATGATAATAGGATGCATTTTACAACCTATGAATATAGTTAATGTTTCTTTTATTCCCCTAAAAGCTATTATTAAAGTTGTCATTATTGTTGTTGTTAGGTGCCGTTGAGTTGGTTCTGACTCCTAGCGACCCCATGTACGACAGAATGAAACACTGCCCAGTCCTGCGCCATCCTCACAGTCGTTAAGCTTGAGCCCATTGCTGCAGCCACTGTGTCAATCCGTCTCGTCGAGGGTCTTCCTCTTCTTCACTGACCCTTTAAAACAATGGGAAATATTTTTAAATAGTGGATACAAAGAAGATAGAAAGCAAAAAACAAAAAAATTAGCATTCCAGACATAGGGAAATGTTCACAGCAAAATAGGTTTAAAATAAAAGTAAATTATAAAGATAGAAAAAAACAGTGATACATCTTGTAGTCATTTCTTAGAATGAAAATGAGTATTGTTTCAGTTTGCCCTTTTCTTTCCCCAATGTTCATACCTCTTTTCTATATCTTCTTTTTACCTGAAAACTTGTTTGATTGTGAAACCTCCAGTTCAGACATTGATACAAAGAGAAAAGCTAAAGGCCAGTCTTGGCTCTGTCTCACCAGCTCACGTGTTCCCTGGGCTGGTTTTCTGAATGTCTGCATGCTCTGCGGAGCCCTGTGGTCCTGAGGGCTGTCAGACCTTCCCCCCGAAAGATGCACTGTCCACACACATCACTCTGCAAACTGTGGGGCCTTGGAGAGACTCACTTTCCCTTAAGATCTGTTTCCTCACTTGTAAAGTCATATTCCCCCAGCTTCTAACATGTTCGTGGCTGGGGGTTTGCCTTTCTCCCTGACTCCCAGTAAGGTGTTTGTCAAACTTA